TTCCACTGAGCCATCTCCCCAGCCCACCAATTCTATTATTAATGGCATCATTATAAATTAAGGATTCAAGTTAAAAACTTGAACATTTCTTGACTTTTCTGTCAATGCCCATATTCAGTCACTCATCAAACTCTGTGGATTTCACTTTCTTGCTTTCTTTTCTTTTTTTTTTTTTTTTTCTTTTTCAGTACTGGTGACCCTGCACTTGCCAGGCAAGCGCTCATTCTACTGAGCTATCTCCAAGGCTCCTGATTTCACGTCTGAAAAAAATCTCACATTTTAATCCCTTCACCTCCTACCCCACTGTCAAGTGTGTTAATCTTCTGGATTTCCCCTTTGCCTCTTCTTTTACCCTAACTGCCAAACTTTGATCTAGCCATCACTGTAAAAGTCCTATCTAAATATTCCTTCACTTAGAAATTTTATTTTATTTTTCTAGGTTTTCTTTTTATTGGTATTCACTTCAGTAAGTTGAATCCACAGATATAAGCAGCATATGACCAGAGTTACGAGTAAACACAGATTACACATGCAAGTTTCTGTTCACAAAGGTCACATGTGCAGGTACATGAATTAAAAGCGTGCGTCAAGAGGCTGGTGAGATGGCTTGGTGGTCTGGGGCACCTGCTTGGAGCAGGCTTGGCGGGGCGCAGGGCCCGCAGTTCGGTCCCCCGGCGCCACATGCCAGCCGGCCCGCCCCCTGGTGGGCTGGGCTGGCCACGCACGCACATACATACATACATACATACATACATAAATTTAAAAAAATAATAATAAAATTTCTAATTTAAAAAAAAAGCGTGCGTCAAGAATTATGGCCAAACTGTTTTCAAAAGGCAAAAATGTAAAATTATATATTGAAAATATAAAGAGATGGTCTACACACTTCAAAAATCAAATGTTGCTTATAACGAAGAGATGTATGACAGCTATAGGATTCAAGTGACAAGCAGTAAGATCCTCAGAAATTAATACTGGTCAAAGAGAACGGGAATATTTTTACATTTCACTGAAAATACATTGACTACTAGAATACGAAACCTAGCAGGAACTCGAGAAAAAAAATTACAAAATCTAAAACCAATTGCTTAATATTCACGTAGAAATTTTAAATGTATTTGTTACTTACAGAATCGTGGCAAAATCCACTAGCATGCAGTGAAAAGTTTTCATACCCAAACTTAGCGTACCTTTCTCCCTCCTCTGTAGTCCTTCTGTAACAGCAAATGCCCCCTCCCTCCCCCCTTCACCAGTACACTTCAATTTTTTAGTTGCCCAGGTAACATCTCCTGTTGCAGTTCCTGTTACTTTTGTCTCCTAGAAGTAGCTGGTCACTGTGAGGCATGTTGTAACAACCAGCCCCCAACTGACAAGCCATTCTGCTTCTGCACTTCCTGCTTGCTTATCCCATATAAACTCTAAACCACCAGATGATGGCCTGATATTTTGGGAGTGCTGCCAGTCAGTGTCCATTGATGTAAATCCATCTGCCTGCAAATCCTGGGTGCTGTTTTCATGTTTCTGCTTGCCTTTGCATCTCATGTGTCAGCCAGGAAGACAAACAGTGGTGACCTCTTTGGTAACAAGTCATAGTCCATGTGGACAGGGCAGTGACCTCTCCAGGTCCTGACAGGAAAGAGTGCCCTTGAGATTGCACCTCAGTTCTAAGCACTATGTAGGTTAGTACTAACTATTTATTTTCCCCCAGCTCAAACATATAGTGTCAGGTATTTTTTTCCTATACTGTTCCTCTACCAGGATGCCCTCAACAATTGCAACCATCATTAACTCATATTCAATAATCTAACTCTCAAATACCAACTTTGCTTTTAATTTTCATTTCTTCCATAACCTAAGTACACAGAGAATAATTATTTCCTCATGTATGCCCTTATAAGCGTATTTGTAGAGTTCCAATTAATTTATATCATACATAGATTATACATGTAAATAGTCATGTCCTATCACCAAATTGTAGCTCAGTTGTAGAGCACCTGCCTAATGTGCATGGCCCTGGGTGCCATCCACAGGGGACACACGAGCGCACACACACACACACACAAAAATCGACAGAAAGTGAAGGAATAAAAACAGTAAAGAAGATGCATCCAAATTTTTTAAAACTGCAAATGCATGCTTGATCCTATCTGTTTCATCACAACTTAATCTTATTAAATGATCATCTATGGAATAGCTCAGGTGGAGCTCATTCACATTTTAATCCGATGACAAAAAGTATTAGTAATCAGCCCCTCCCTACTTATCACTACTATAATTACACTTCCCTTGATAGACAAAGACGCCCTTCGCGCCTGGGAGCGGTTTCTCTTGGCTTTGTAATGCTGCATTTTATGTTCCAGAATCTTTCCTACAGAAAGCCAATTATTCCACCAGTTATTGTTCATTTTAGAAATTACTTTAAATCTAAAGTTGCAACCCTGTCGAACTTTTTGTTACAGTGTAAAACCCTTGGGAAGATCGTTTTGTGACAATTATTTAAGTCACTGCAAACTCCAATCTTTGTAAAACATTTTACTGTACAGGAAAGACAGAATTGAAGTATAGTTAATCTCATTTCCAAAGTATTCTCTCCAAAATTAGAATCTGGGGCCGAGACCGCACGGCATGTGGGGTCAGGGATAAAGCTCAGGTCCTTGTGCTTGCCAGGTACATGCTTATGCCTCTGAGCTATCTCTCTGACCCCTATACTTGGAAAAGAAGAAAAGGAAAAAAAAATTAGAACTCATTCATTTTCTAAATATCTACTCAAATTTTTCCTTCCTCTTTCCATTTTCTCTCTCTCCTTCCTAAAAATGTTCTATCAAAAGTACACATGGTTTTTGTCTCACATTTTTTTTAATGCATTTGGCACAGGGTCTCACTATGCAGCTTGGACTAGGCCTCTCCAGTGCTGGGATTACATGCCTTGTCACTGGCTCTGGGTGCCCAGGGGCAGAGCTGTAGGAACCCCAGTCCCTGCATTTGCCTAAGCAGGCACTCAGTCCATGGAACTATCTCGCGGGCCCTCTTGTGACTTGTTTTTTTTTCTTCTGTATTTTAGGGAAGTGTCTACAGTGTGTTCAGGGTCGCACTACTAGATCAGACTCATAGTGATCCGCCTGGTTACAGCCTCCCAAGAGCTGGGATTACAGGTGCGTGCTACCACACCCAGTCTCAATTGCCTCTCGGTGTGCCGGCACAGCAGGCTCAGGGACAGAACCCCTGGCCCCTGCACCTGCTTGCAGGTGTTTTAATCCACTGAGCTATTTGGCCAGCCCTCCCTTTTGTGACTTTGATATAACTCTACTGCGTACAACTGAAAAGTTCATACCACATAAAATTTTTGCATAATTTGATGAAAAATATTTGGTCTGTGAATTTATAGATATGTATGATATATGCATCAAGCTCATGTAAATAGAGTTCATAGGGTTTAACATTTCTTTATAACCTTTATTATCCCCGGTTCCACCAAAGGAAAAAAATAAATAAAAATAAAACAATTGATAGTTTGGCATTTTTATATTTTATTCACTGAACATACTAATACTAAGGAAATCTTTTATTTTACTTTTTTTGTAAGTTGGTCCAACTTTATTGTAATCTGTTACAAAAGACAGTTTAAATAAGAACCAGTAGAGATATATCTCAGGCACAGTGCCTGCCTGGCAAGTGAAAGGTTCTGAGTTCAATTCCCAGAAAAAAAAAAAAAAAAAAAAAAAACTTTGTAAAAAAAAAGCCAAACAAATACTACGGTGGTAATACTGTTGTAATTCCATAGAAAGGTAGGTTTTACAGTGATTTATTTGAAAACTTAACTGTGCTTTAGTGATATCTTGCTGTTTTATAAGTACTTTTGAAAGACAATCCTTAAGACAGAAATTCTATTAGAACTGAAAGAATGCTTTATTGTTGATAGTACTGTCAATAAATTTTCAAAAAGATATCTTTAAAAAAAATAAGAACCAGTATCTTTGGTTTTTAAGGCCTTTAGAAATCTGAGTTATATATCACTACAGAAGAATATAAATTACATTAGTTCAAATTACAAAATAAAAATGTTTACAAATGAATAGTGTATCATCATTAAATGTTTGTAAATGGTTTATGCCTACTTCACAACTGTTAACAGCTTTTTTAAAAACTCCAATAACCAGTTTGGAATTGAATGAGAAAACCCCATTTCATTCTGACAGGAGGGATATTCACAGATGAGCCCTCCAGCAGCAGCCTTCTCATGCTACTGGGTTAGAAGATACTCTGTTATGAGATGAAAACATTTTGTATTTTTCCTAACCAGGAAAAATTATACCCACACATAAGAAATCATCTCTTGCTTTACAAATGCAAATTAAATTTTTTGAATATATCTGTGTTAAAACTTTCTCTTTTTTAGCTTTAGGCAAAACATTGCATCTTTTAAAAACTGTATTCAGCAGAACTCAAGTCCTGTGCCAAATTTCCTGGAAGTAGAGCCCAAAGTGGGGAGGTCCTCTGAGACTTCAGGCTTTTGTTCCAAATGTTTAAGAAGGTCACAGTTGGCCTCTAGAGGTCAGAATTCAAATCAGAAAACACACGCAATTGTCAGATACTGCCTCCTAATTTACAGTAAAACTATAACAAAGCAAACTCCCATTTTATCTTAAAGAATTTTACATCATGCAAACTTAAAAAAAAAATAAAAACAAAAAACCAAAGGGCCAGGGACTTAATTCAGTGGCACAGTACTTGCCTGGCAAGCATGAGGTTGTGAGTTTGATTCCCAGTACCAAAAAAAAAAAAATCATTCCAAGTCCTACTGTAGATCGTGAGCCCCCTAGACTCAAGCAGAAAGTAAGTTTTTACATTTTTCTGGTCTTCCTAGAAGTATTTTTGGCTGACAGACTTAATTGAATCACATCATAGTCCATACCTGCTGCTGAGGAACGCATTTGTTTTTGCTCAACCACTCAACCCTGTCTCCAGCTACAAGGAACCTACTTTTTGATCTGGTAAAAGAAGCGACTCAGCCATCCAAGGAGGGCATCTCTGCACTGACAGGGCGCTCGCCTCTCACTGCTTCTGTGCCAGTT